GAAGAGCAAGCAGCACGAGAAGCAGAAGAACAGGCTGCTCGTGAAGCCAAAGAAGCCGCAGCTGATGAATCAGAACTCGAAGCGCTCGAAATGAAAGCTGCGAAGAAAAAGCTCACTAAAAAGGAGCAAAGACGCTTCGATGAGCTTGCCGAGAGGATCAATGCCCGTGCAGGTACCGCAGATGCCGATGAGGCAGCCAGACAAGCAGCGGAAGAGGAAGCGGCACGTGAAGCAGCCGACCTAGCCGCTCGTGAAGCTGAAGAACAGGCCGCTCGCGAGGCCGAGGAACAAGCCGCTCGTGAGGCCGAAGAACAAGCCGCTCGCGAGGCTGAAGAGCAAGCGGCACGCCAAGCGGAGGCAGATGCAGAGGAAGCAGAACTTCAAACACTCCAAAGTAGGCTTAAGAGAAAAGGGAAACTCGGCAAAACTCATCAAGCTCGACTCGAGGAACTAACTGAGCGCGTCAATGCTCGTGCTGCTGCTGCTGCTTCAGAGGCTGACGGTGAGGATACACAAGCTTTGGCGGATGAAGCAGAGCAGGCTGCCCGGGAAGCAGCGGAAGCTTCTTTGCGTGAAGCAGAGGAACAAGCGGCGCGAGAAGCGGAAGAGGCTGCTCAAGCTGCACGCGAAGCTGAAGAGAGGGCCGAACGCGAACGACAGGCTGCCGAGGCCGCCACTTCTTCCAAGAAAAAATCGAAGAAGAGCACCAAAGCCGATGACAAGAGATCCAAGTCTACCAGCAAAGACAGGAAGAAAGACGACGACGACTTGAGCCTTGACGGTGTAGACCTGACAGCCGAACAGGCTGACGAGATCTTGTCGGGTCTACCGCCACCAAGGAAGCCTAAAGCAGATGACCCTTTCTCATTCTGGGGTGCCAAGCACGCCTCGAAGAGCTCACCTCCTAAAGCGGTCACCACTTCTCAGTCTCAACTCTCAGAACCTGCCGATACTCCAATTGCGGAACCAGCCGAGGTTCCAGAGGAGGATGTTGAAGATGATGTTGCGGATAACGTCGAGGATGATGTTGCAGATGATGGTGTGGATGATGTTGAGGATGATGTTGATGATGTTGATGATGTTGGAGATGTCGATGATGATATTGATGATGATGAGGAGGATACCAAGGGGAAACAGGAGCACGCCCCTACCTTTTTCAAGTCCATCTTTGATGATTGGCTCCCAGGGAAGAGAACTAAAGGAACTATGCTTGCCGAAAAGCTGAAGAAGTTTGAACCCAACATACAAGATTCCGCCGAGGGTGACTTGATCGATGTGGTGCCTGAAGCATCAGCGCCACCACCCGAGCCTAACCAGGGTGACTTGGACATCGTCCCTGGCAGCTTTCCCGATGAAGATCAAGCAGACGATATCCATGACGACGACCCCACAGATGAAGGCCAAATGGATGTAACACCCGACATGGCGCTTGCCGCACGAGAGTCGGGAAAAAGCATCTCTAGAGAAATAGATGACGACGAAGATGAAGACGAAATTGTCGAGATTGTTGACCTTTCACCACCTGTTGAAAAGAAGTCGAAGAAGAGCAAGAAGAGCAAATACAGGGACGGTCTCTCTGCTGCTGTACCACCCGCTGTGCCTCCCCCACCACCTGCGGTACCCGAAGCCCCCGAGGCACCCGAGGCACTTACACCGCCTCACGGTGAGTCCAGGTCCTCAAAGAAGGAACGATCCAAGACCGGTCGTGATGGTAATGTGTCATGGGGTGGTGTGAGGTCACCCACAGCTACACCACACAAGGAAGACAAGAAACCACTGAAGTCTCGATCCGACACTAAAAAGCCAAAGGAGAGAGAAGAGAGGGTAGCGTTCAAAGACCCAGACTTGGATAAAGTAGAGCGACAAGATCGAAGAGGAGCCGCGCCGATTCATAAGCCGCGTATGAGTAGTATCTTTCAAAGCACACCTCCCATCTCGCGTTCCATGCCACCACGCGATAAGCGCGCGGACAAATATAGCTCAAGACGCCAATCTGTCGATATGAGTATGAGCGGTGGACTTGTGTCGCCACCCCCGGAGGAGATGCCTGAGTACACCTCCAAGGCGGCCCGAGTTCTGGGAGTAGACAAAGGCCATAGCCGACGGACCTCACGCAATCGCGACATTATGGAAGAAGACGACAATATCATGACGGGAGCTCGGGATTTTGTGTCGAGCCCTGATAAGTCAGCGCGCAAGCGATCGAAGACAAAGGGGCACCAACGTTACTCAAGCCCAGAAGTTGATGACTCGAAACCAGCCAAACCAGACGACGATGTTTTCAATGGCAATACAAGAAGCCCAATTGATCTGACTCCGCCAAGGCGATCTAGCTCGAATGCCAAGAAGGGCATCTCTGGCATCTTCGGTGGTCTAAGGTCCTCGAATCCTCGCTTCGATCCCCGAGCCGAACCCCGAGCTGAACCCCGCCCCGAACCTCGCCCCGAGCCCCACCGCCGAAATACATATCATGGCACCGACGACGAGGCCAGACCTGACAAGAGGCCAAGGCATTCACGAGGAATGAGTTATGCGGAACCAGAAATTGACGCTGATCGTGAAGCTCGGCGCGCCGCTCGTCGGGCAGCGAGGGAACATGAGAAGGTCGACGAAGCTCGACGCGCGAAGGACGCTCGCCGCGAGAGGCGTAGGCGCCAAGAAGAAGAGGAGGAGGAAGCGCGTAGACATGAAGAGCGGGAAGAGGTGCGTAGACAAGAAGAGCGAGAAGCCCGACGAGCGGAGCGCAGGGCCGCACGAGAACGCGAAGCCCAACGTCTCGCGGACGAAGAGGCCGAAGCTAGGGAGGCAGAGAAAGCAGACCGTCGTCGTCGTCGGAGGCTCGAGAAAGAAGCTGCCGCTGTTGAAGCAGAGGCTGAGGCTCGTCGGGCTGCCCGGACCGAGCGAAGACGTTCTCGATATGCGGAGCCATACGAAGACGAGGAGGAGGAGCGCCGACGAAGACGCGAAGCCAGACGGGCTGAAAAGGCCAGTCACGACCGGTCTGCACCCGTAGACAATCATGTGTATCCCCGGGAAAGGTCTTCTAGACCTACAGATGATGAACATGGCAAGAGAAGGACGCCTACCTGGCCACATTCGGGTACGAGTTCGTGGGTAAAGGAACATTCAGACGCGGGCCCGCCCCCAGATTTAAGGCCAGCAGCGGAAGCTCACCGACCCACGGACGACGAAGAAGCCCGCCGAGCCGCCCGCCGAGCCGCCCGTCGGCGGGAGAAGGAGAGATACGACGATACGAACCGAGGCAATGCGAACAGAGAGTACGACGACGATCAGAGGCGAAGGCGCGCACGGCGCGAAGAGCGCGAGCGCCGAGAGCGGCCAGCGGGCGGATCTGGAGGGTCGGCCGGCAGTAGAGAAAAGGCACAGCCGGAACCAGTCTTCATGGATGCGACGCCCCGAAGCAGCTGGTGGCGGAAACTGAGAGGATCTTGAGGACCTATCTCCCTTTCCTAGCGCGATCTAGTCTACTGGCAGGCACGAGGAGGATCTGGTTCATCTATCTAGTATCTATATGCGGATACAGCGAACAGGTTTTGTTTGGGGGCTCAGTGCGTGCGCCGCATGTGTTGTTTTGGGGTGGTTTTTCTTTGTTCCCAGAGATAAGACAAGAACGCATTATTTATATACCCTCTGACATATTTCAACAGAAGCCCTAGCATTGGGCTGCTTGGCCAGCCCACTGCTGGCTACAGCGCAAGATGTTCACTAGAAAAGAGAGAAACAGGTGCCTAGGTACTTAGACAGCAACATGAATAACACAGATTGAAGATGCTGCTACTAGATGGGCTTGCGGGTTTGTGATAGAGCTGTGTGCTGTATGACCGGGGCCAGGGCCAAAGGGGAGTCACAACAAGAGGCTTCAGATTGGTGTGCTGAATGGAATCCCCTATAGAATGAATGAATGGTATCAAAGTATGTATGTTGCAAACCTAGCTTGATGATGCTGCTATCAGGCTAGTCATACATACCTACATAACATACCCCTTTAAAGGCGGTGATGAAGCGATGAGATAGATAATTTGATGTCTTGACGCAAGCAGTATGTTCCCGTGTCTGGTTGCAATATGATGTGATGTGATGTTATATGATATGATACAATGTGAGCAGCTGGCTAAACTAGTAACCTTTCTTTATTGTGTATCAAGGTATTTGTTGTGTAATTGCAAGGAATCATTTGTGCTGGCGTATTATTTTACTAGAACTAGTTGAAGGGCCTATATAGTTACTTACTTGCTTGCTTACCTACTTGAGTAGATAAGCAAGAGCACTTTTGTCAAATTGTCTGTCATTGACGTTGAACAGGTAGATAATTAGTTCATTGACATACATTTCTAAGCATAGCAGCTGTTATAGTTAAGGTTGTACAGCATCTCACAGATGCCTGCAGGATCTTGCCCGGCTGCATATATCATGCAGGTTACCACCTGTCCGATATGTCAGGAAGCAGGTAGGTAGGATAGAACCTCAAAGGACAAGACGCCTGTCCTGCTTAAACATGACAGGAAGTAGGATAACCACGTTGCTAGGTATATACTTTCACAATGTAGCTCTTTCCTTGGTAGCAAGTTTTCAACTGACAACTAGGAACTTAAAGTAACCAACTACTTAGCTTAGGTACTTATGTAAGGTAAGTAAGTACCTGTGCAAGTCAAGACAAGCAAATAGGAGAACGTATGTACCTATACAGCCGCATAACTGAGAGATCTACCTACTTTACTTCCTTCACAACTGACAACTGACAACTGTATTACGTGTGGTACGTACCATGTACTTATCTTGGTACAAGTATGGATACAGCGCGTGTCACCGCGTCTAAACTTGCCAGAAAAGAACATGCACGCGAGCGAGCAAGCAAACAAACAAACAACAACCCCAGGCAGGAAGGAAGGACCAACAGGTGGTATAGGTACCTTACCTTAGGTATATAATGGGCAAATAGATGCCAAACGTCAAGTACAATGCGATAACAAGGTACAATGGCACCAGTAGAGTAGTAGTTAACTCATTTCCCTCCCATCTTGTGTGGGCGAGGAAGGAAAGGACCTGGGTGCAAATCCCGGCTGGTGCAAGTTTTTTTTTTTTTTCTTTTTTTTCTTTTTGCACTGCACAATTGAATTGGTTCATCATGCTGTTTTCTTTCTTTATGGTTAATGTTTCTTTATATGTTTTACCTTTCATGTCTTGACAAATAACATAAAGCATTGTTTTCTCATGCTATGTTTTATTTAGCATATCACATTCAGCAGACAATGAACTCTCAGGCCTTTCTCATTTATTCACTAAATACAAATTTATGAGTTACATTCCACAAGCGGGTTTGGTATAGCCCTCATAGTTTAAACTTACTCCTTGAATGTGGCCGCAATCTTGCCATTTGATCTCATTTGCTCATTGCGGGTTAATGGTTATTGCAGAACAATGCATTACTTGACAACTAGGTTGACCAGGGACTGTATTCCCGCAATGTACGTATATCATAGTAGAGTTGTTAACTGAAATAAGTTCATTGATGACTGCATTACTTATGAAGCCCAATAAACTGCAGAGCTTAATTGCTGAAGGCTATAAATAAACATAAAAGATCTCCTGGTCTTTACAAAAATCCTTGCCACCTTATTTCCACAGCTCAACAAAGCAAGAAGCAGAAACACCTTGTCCTCTAATTGTCTCGCCTAAACAAAGAACACTGCTTACTTCACCCAAGTCGACAATATACATATAAGTCTCCCCAGCCATACGTGCTTGCTCACGCCCCAGACTACGAAACTGCAATTCTGGCCGACCAAAATAAGCCAACCCATAATTTCTTCAAGACGAAAAGCAACACATCATACCAAGAAAAGACGGAAAGGGGGTAAAAAGATGTGCTACTCGGAAATCAAGAAAACGGCGTGCGCGCTATGCTACAAAGTCGTATCGACTGAGAAGGGTATCAAACACAAGTGCTTCGAGGTGCTCAAGGCGGACGCCAGGTTCGGGAAGTGTGGGAAGAAGTACGGGCCGTACGAGACGTTGGTGAAGACTAGTCCATGCACCACTTGTTGTCCGCCTGCTCCCAGAGGTCCGCGACGGGCACGATAGGGGCAGAGAAGAAGGGGTATTAAGGATTTGGATTGTTGCGCTGTGTTTTCCGGGCTTGGACGGCTAATATGTCTGTAATACATACAACTAAAACTCCTCAGTTCTACGCACTCCCACTTGATTCGTTATAAGCTTAGGCAATGACACATTCTAAAGAGAGAGAAAAGACTAATATAATATGCCAACGCCGAAATCCGTAATAGAGCCTCTTAAAAGCTCGGGCAATCGTGATTCCTGATCTGGATTGAGGGTGGCAGCCAGGCGTGCTTCCCGTCATAGATTATGTCTTCATTTACACTGGCGTGAAGGCCATTGTGAGCCTTGACATCTCCCACTTGACTACGGCTGACATGTTTCTCCTTTTTTCTCCTTTACGATCACCACTGATTCAAAGTGCTGTCCCGCAATCGTTAAAGAAAGAAAATAGACAAGTGAGTACTGATAGTTATATCTCATAACACCTAAGTGCTTTTCCGTCTTGCCTTACGTCTATATACCTGGCCTAGCGGGAAAAGGGGTAAAGAATATCAAGCTTGGTAAAACGAGGCGTCCACGTTTAATCTATCCGAGCCTGGCGTTTTCAGCCAGCAGCAGAGCTGGACGATCTTTAAGCTAAGTGTTATAATACAACATAGGAATTAAATCCATTTAAGAGGAGACGGGCCAGTGATCCCTCAAGATCCCAATAAAATAATTAATACAGTGCAGTCTAACGCGAGAAAGGCAACCTCCCCCCCTATGATTGACCCGCACTGTCCGCAAAGTGCTTTACCATATCAAGCATGCGCTCCGCCCCGTCGGCCTGAAACATCATCTCGCCCACAATCTTGATTCCGCCGCTAACGTGCTCGAGAGCGCGCTCGCGCATCGGCGTCTCGTAGGCGACTATCGCGCGCTCCACCGCCGCAGCATCAGCCTTCGCATCGAATCCCCCCTCCCCCTCCCCCTTCCCATCTCCAAAGCCTAGTTCAGCAGAGAGACTCTCGAACAGCCGCAAGGCGTCCAGCATGGCGATGTTCACCCCCTCGCCGTTCGGGATGCCCAGATGCGCGGCGTCGCCGACCAGGGTGACGCCGGGGACGCGCGTCCACGTCTTCTTGCCCGTCTCCGAGAACACCTCGGGGTCGAAGGTATACAGCGGCCAGATGCGCCAGGGGCCCTCGGCGGCGTCGACGAAGGCGCGCAGGTGCGGCGCCCAGTCCGCGTAGAGGCCCCTCAGCGCGTCCTGCGCCTTGGCCGGGTCGGCGGCGAAGTCGAGGGCGCCGCCCGGTCCCATGAGGGACTCGGGCTTCTCGACGCCCGCGTACATGCGGTACGAGCGGTCCGCCACCTGCTGCACGGCGAGCATGCGGCCCGCGCCGATGCCGGAGAAAGAGCCCGCGCCGGCTATTTCCTGTGCCTTGGCGTACATGGGGTTCGTCTGCGGGATCCGGCCCTCGATGAAGCTTTTGCCCGAGTAGTACGGCTTGGCGGATGTGAGCTGGAGAAGAAGGTTAGCCGAGTTCGCTGTCTAGAGCTTGAGGGACGGAACATAAGACTGGTGAGAAAAAGGAGGCATTGCACATGTTTGTTGTATTCCAAGTGCTTATTCAAACATGTGAATAATAAATAATTGATATACGTACCAGGGGCCGAACTTTACTCCAACCACCATCCGCACCAACAATCATGCGAAAGCCCGTCTCCTCAGACCCGTCCGCGAACCGCAAGACCCAACCGGCCGCGCCCGCGTCAGAACCGGCGCCGTCCGCCCTCTCGACAGCGCGGAGGGCCTTGCCCCAGCGCACGCGATCCGCGGGGATGGAATCCAGGAGGATCTTCTGCAGCTGGTACCGGTCGATCTCGGGACGGTCGGACAGGAAGTCGGCGCCGACGGTGCCGTCGCCGCCGGCGCGGAAGTTGAGGGTGCCCGTGGCGTCCTGGAGCGCGAACGTGGCGGCCTCGTAGCGCGCGAACTTCAGGAACTCGGCCTTGAGCCCCGCGGCCTCGAGCGCGGCCTGGCCCGTCCCCGTGTGGATGTCGAGGGTGCCGCCCTGCTGGTGCTGGTACGGGGACGAGGCGTCGTTGCGCTCGAAGACGACGTAGGGCACGTGGGCGAGCTCGAGGAGGCGGGCCAGCGTTACGCCGCAGGGGCCGGCGCCTACTATCGCTATGGGCGGCGTCGTGGCGCTGGAAGACATTGTGTTTACAAGAAGTGGTTGGCTTTTTGTAGATAGTGAGGAAAAGGGGTGGATGAGAGAAAAGTGGGAATATAAGGCCGATTCTTGGTGGAATTACAAGATCAAAGTATCTTTCGTGGTAGCTGGAAAATGGCTGTGAGCTGAATCGATGGACACGAAGATAGATGGCGCTCAATGGTTTATTTATATATTGTGAGAAATAGAGGCGGACTACTGATTCAAGTACGTGAGATCGCGCCCTGGACACGATCATCTAGATACACATACATGACTTGCGACAATACGAGTGCCTGGTCAAGCTGGAAAGAGGGGGACATAACCTAACTAGCCTAGGTAGTTGGGAATATCCGACACACCTGTGAACTCAAGGCTTCATTCTAAAATTGCGCTTTAACATCACAGGTTCGTTGAAAAAAAGGAAATAAACGAACAATGGAGTCATCGGGTGGGTGCTCGGACTCGAGGCGGTAATTGGAAGTTTATGAGTTGTATGAATGCCGGGCTTTTCTTTCGGGCCGGCGGACTTTGAGAGACCCGAAGTTGTCCGCCGGGCTATTGAATTCGGGGTCGAGATTGGGTGCGAACATGGGTGCCTGGAGATGGACTCAAGACCGACCGGCCGGGACCGAAATGCCAAGCCGGGACCGAAAGCGTACATCACTACCATTTAGCAGAGCGTTCCCACTAGCCACTTCGGCACTCTTAGGGCTGAATAGCTAGGCTTCATAGGTAGGGCTAGGTATCACATGGGGCTTGCTTTGACGCCTCGCGTTGAGTTTCATGTATTACCTTCTAAATACCTCTTGGTAGTTGCGAAGGTCGGAGCTAGATTCGTATTCTCTTTGCCTTTCTGTACTATAGTCGCAGGTGGTTTTTACTACTCTACTCTTGCGAATAGACTCACTTCTTTTTGCATTTCCTAAGAGGTTGATTTGATGGCATTCCATCGAAGTGTCTGTGAAGTGCCTTAGTGTAGGTCTCCAGAATGCGGGACGGGGAATATATGGCGTTTCCCGTTTCAGCATCTCAACCCATCAAGTGGATATCGACATCGATCAATAACACAACCAGTCTAGCCAAGCGTACACACACACCTACGGAGAAACCTTCCCCCCCTTTCCTGTATCACTGAAGCAAAAAGAAGCAAGAAGAACAAGACGCAAGAAGAAGCGGAAGAAGAAAAAGCCGGGGCAATGGTGCCCGCCCTCCATTCCATTGATAATAAAATAGAATAAAATTTAAGGACAATAACGAAACCGACAAGACCAACACCAAAAACGACAACAAACAACAGCAACGTCGACGTCGACCGATGACTGATGACTGACGACGGCAGATATTTCCCTTTTGGTGATCCTTGGTATGCTTAGCTCCTAGACAACGCCATTTCTCCCCATTTGCCCATTTGCATTTGCCCCATTTACCCATATCCCATTTAAACACCCCTATCCCACCACACCCCACCCACACACCCTGCACCTCTCTCTACACGCCTTCCCCACCCATCCACCCATCCTTAAAACTTTCTCTCATGTGAGCTCTAAAAAAAAACGAACCCAGTCGTTCCGTTTCCCCCCCGCTTTGCGACCGTACCGCCGAATGAGACGTTTTTGGTGGCGTATATTTTTTCCAGGCCAATAAAAAAGATATAGAGTTAATGATGTACCCATGTAGAATGTTAATCAAGTATGTCGTGTTGAGGCCTGAGTTGAGAGCGGTAAGGTAGTCATGAGGACGTTAGTAGAGGGAGAGGAGGATTTTTCCGTAGTCGAAAGAAAAGTGGCGTAGATTTCGCTATTCATGTACT